GATTTTTAAAAAGAAAAAAAGCTTTGCCTCTGAAACACCGTTTTTAGGCTGAAGACGGCATGCACGCACACGCACGCGCCTTGCAGGAATACTGTCCCCTCAGTTATCGTGGAACACAGCTGCTGTGATCTTTGGAGACAGAATCGGCTCTGCCTTCCTCTTGGTGTGAGCAGAGAAAAAAAACAACCCCTTGGATGCTTCAGCCATCTAAAATAAATCCATGCAAGCCCCAGCACTATAATCCAATTAATGGGGCTTTGTCAATTGTTTAGAGATAACATATGTGCTTCTGTTGCAAATGGTTTGCAATCTCGTGGCCCTATTTTAAAAGGTAGAACTAAAACAAGCAAGAGAAGCAAGGACATGATATTTGCTAGTGGATTAGAGAATACAATGGAAGGAATTCTAGCTTGATGGGGCAGATTCTCCGCCCCAAACAAACTCAGCCAAGTAGAGGGCGAACACAGAAGGAACCTGGTTACAGTTCTCTAACCCTGAGCCAAAGGGCCTAGGCACAAGTTGAAGTTGCAGGTCAGCAGCTCTAACTTATGCCAGTGGAGGATCAGGGCTAGCAGAGTTCCCCTCCCTGCTCCCAAAACCATCTCCTCCTCCCACCCAGTATGAGGAGTGAACGGGGTGCACAAAACTGCTGCACGGACTCTGCCAGCTTTTGGCAAGCAGCGTTCCCCTGCACAGAGCAAATGCTCCACAGGCCATCTCTGGTTGCTTTAAAGCCACTTTCCACTGCTTAGGGCCTCAGCAGCCCTGAGAACCCAGCCCCCAGCATGCAAGGAGCATCCTCCAGGCCGCTTGGCTTGGCTTATGGTCACACTGGCTCTCACTAGCCTCTTTTCAGCACTGTTCGGTGGAAGCTCAAAGCTCTGTTCACCCGGCACTCAGTCCATTTTACTCGCTTCTAATTCTATCTTCCCCAAGGCTAGAGTCAGCTGTTCTCCAATGCATCTGCCAATTACTGTCCTCTGCTAACAAGAGCCAAGGCTAATTGTCAGCTGTCATCTATGGAAAGCAGATTTCATTGGCAAATTAGGAAATACGGAGCAGAAATCATGAATCATTCACCTAGACACACACTATGGAAAGCTCTGCTGATCTTAAGTTACTGCAGGACCAAGTATGATTTAGAGCTTGCCAGAAAACAAACCAACCCTTTTCTTCTCTCACAGCCTAACATCATCACCTTTCAAAACGAGAGCAGAACGTCACCTTGGCCTGAATCCAGCCAGAATGGCTAATTCTTCTTCCTCTGCATTACATCTTCCACGTCTTTGAAATCGGCCTTTTCTTGGCAGCTAACTGGCTGATTCCTTCTAGGCAAACAACTCGCAAACAAAAAACCCTGTGGATTCTGCTCACTCTTCATGGTAAGCCAGCTCACTGGCCAGAAGCCAAGCAGATAAAGGTACTGAGCTAGATCCTAAGCTCTGGCCAAGGAGTTCTCGGTGCAGCTGAGGAGAGGGTTTGCACAAGCAGGGGTTGCCCTTCACCAGGCCAGTCCCCGGCTATGGGTTAGGCTACTCTAACCTGCACCAGTGGGCGGGGACCCCAAGGAGTGGTTATGATGGCTGGGGATCACTGGAGTGAAGGGGAGGCCTGACCGCCCCTCTATCTTCTGACCACACATCCTAGGTTAGCAGCTGAGTGGGCAGAGTGGTTGGCCTAAGAGCAGATATGGTGACCCTACAGTACCCCAGGTTCCCCCACCAGGGGAGAGATTTGCCAGATTTTGGCCACATTGCGGTGGCATGGGCATGTAAGCGAGGGCAGAATCTGACTCATCATCCAGAAGAGGTTAAGATAGTATTGGCTCCTCGCATCGTCACTCACACACCCAGAGATAGTGCCGTGCCACCAGGAAATGCACACACCGAAGTATTCAACAACAGGGAGGAAACTAGGTTTATAACTTTCCCTGAAATCAAAATCCAGTTGCGAGCCAATTTCTCAAAGGCCAGCATGAGAAATAGATGGCTAGAGAAGGCACCAAGATGGATGCTTGGGCACTGGCTGAGCCCATCTGAAGTTAGCTACTTTGGTTGAATGGGAAGCCAAGGCAGCTCCCAAAGTTTCCTTTAACGTATGTCTCTGCAGACTGCCTGAGACAGAGCAGCACTTTAAGTGCAGCCCTGTCTGGTCTGAACTGTGTTTTACAGTCGCTTTCTAATGGGACAGAGGTTTTCATTAACCAGGACTGACCCCTCCCTGGAGCTTCCAGCTGGCATGGGGCGGTGGCTCCCAGACTCCCTGAACTTGGAACACGCACCCTGCAGCGGCAGCCCACTAGGGCAGTGCTTGCTCATGCCAAGATCTCAGGTGAGCCGATTTCTGCTGCTTGTTCTGCGTCTGGAGAGCTAGTCTCAATATGTTCCGAATAAATTGCTGGCCCCGGTGAGATTGGGGAGTAAGAGCTGTGCCAGCGGGATTCCCTAGAGGTACCACACCAGACTCTCACTAGGGTATGGAAACAACCTCACTGCTACACCTGCTCTCCCACATTTCAAGATTAGTTCCCAAGCTGCAGGCAACAAAATCCAAGACACTTTTTTTTTTTTTTGGGGGGGGGGGGGGGGGGGGGGCGGGGGGCAGGAGGGGATCCTCGATTCTGTACTGCTTATAGTCCCAGATATTTTCTGGTTGAACTCACTCTGTTCATCACTCCTGCTCAAGATATATACCATACCACCTTCCATAGGGGGGAGGGATAGCTCAGTGGTTTGAGCATTGGCCTGCTAAATCCAGGGTTGTGAGCTCTATCCTTGAGGAGGCCATTTAGGGATCTGGGGCAAAAATTGAGGATTGGTCCTGCTTTGAGCAGGGGGTTGGACTAGATGACCTCCTGAGGTCCCTTCCAACCCTGATATTCCATGATTCTATGATAGGATTGCCACTGGGTGTACAGCACCTACACTGCCCCCAAAGGAGTAGGGAAAAGGCTTCCCAAACAAAGAGACAGGACCACAAATATTTCTCACCTCCTGTGCATTGCCTGAAGACACATCCCCATCACATGGGGGAGGCTGAGTTGGCAGATATGGGAAATTAAATACACCATTGACGAACAAAAACAGAAGGTACACACTGCAACTCCCACAAGTAAAGTGGACACTCCCTCCTTTAACACTCAGTCACAAGGATAACTGGGATGGAAAAGCACAGCGGCACGAAGCATGCCTTGGAGAGAAGCAGTCCAGCAAGAAACTCACAGTGCTAGCCAAGTCGTTCCTGAATGCTGCTTAGAAACCTTCCTCACGCAGCATTTAAAAGCAATTAGCAGCTCCAGTAAAGAAAATGGATCATTCTGTATCCAGTTCAAATCCTTCTCCAAGACTGTGCACAGGCTGGCTCCTCCCTAACTCTCCAGCCCGGTTTCCCACTATCCCCCCACCCATGCACTACAATTGCCAACTCCTCCCGCATTCTGAATGCCCTCCTTCCACTCCCACGCGATGTGGATGCACCATATTCCAGGACGCTCCTTATACCCAGAACGCCCTCCCTAAATCAGGGCACCCTGCCTGCCCTTTCTTCCATCCCCTCCTTGCCTAAAGCAAAAACAGAAAATGCATCTGTGCAAGGGAAAAAATATATTAAAGAACCAACAGGACATGGGATCCCATGACCTGATTCCCCATTCTGGAAACACTCATCGGTTCCACACTTGTTTCTGATAGGCTCCTGGTACAGTAACTAATACTGTAATGAGAAGAAAAAATATGTTTAGTATGTAGACATGACTCCTTATGTAGTTTGCAGTGTTGTTGTAGCCATGTTTGTTCCAGGAGATAAGAGCGACAACGTGGGTGAGGTAATCTTTTATTGGACCAACTTCTGTTGGTGAAAGAGAGAAGCTTTCAAGCTGACACAGAGCTCTTCTTAAGGCCAGCTTTAAAAGGGGGGGAGGGAAGTTTATTTTCTGGGGAAAACATAACAAAAGCAAAACAAAAAAACTAATATATTTTGGTCCCTTCTTGGTTCCGGGCGGGGTGGTGGGGAGGAATCTCATCCAAACAGTACTATGACTGAGGCAGAATAGATCAGCAGCCTAGTGGTACTGATTTATGTCCATATTCATGGTGAACAATGGGGTAGGGAACGGACGGTACCAACTGCAATGCTGTGCTGAATTGAGAAATGCTATAATCAAAAGATTTGTGGTGTATTAGAAAAGACCTATTATAATCCTCTGAATAAGTGCTTCAACAGCACATGGGGCCTGCATTCAGAGCACTGCCTTAAATTAAACTGATCAAGAATCTCCGCGTGGCTCTTTTACAGCATTAGAGACAGGCTTTTGCACTGAGTGCTTCTAACACACCACATCTACTCCGGAGATGCAGGCAATTTAAAAAACACAAGCGCTTCACCCTAGTGCTTTCTATGGGATAATTAATGGAGTCTCATTTCAGTTCATCCACTGGCCATATGGCAGAAAAGAGGCTTAAAAATTTCAGTCTCAAAATGTATTCAGTGAAATCCAGTTAATACAGCCAAACTATAAGCAAAAAAAAACACCCCAAAACAACCAAAAATAAAACCCATTATTGCACTGGACATATCATGCTGCCAGTATACATGGAAACCTTTTCCCTTATACAGCGTAGAAATACAGGTTAATCTTCTGGTCCAAGCTATCTGACAATTCAGAGGTTTGTTTACTGGGCAGAGAACTACAAGCTGTGCTTCGGTGTTGTCTTAGGGAGAGCAGTGGGAGGATCCTGATTGGGAGTTGGCCAGAAAAATCAGTTTTATGCCAGTCTCTGGTTCCTTAAATAAAATATGGAAACAATAAACTGAATTTTAAATTACTACAGTGAGCTAAATACAACAGGTATCACAGTATGAAAATTACTTCTGTCCTACAAGTTAACCTTTTAGTTGATTATTCTCTAACTTTAATAATATCTTGGGGGTGGTGTGAGAGAGATGGGGATTTTTGTATACACATAAAGCCGTTTTCAATCAAGGTAGCAAGAAAGACTTACATTTCAAGTGATTCTCCTCCATCGAGTCCCTTATTTGAAAAACAAACCCAGGGAATTAAGTTTCCCAAGTTCGTTTCCACCTGCATCTGTATATCATTTATATAGTTTTGCATATATTTCTAACAGCAATGTAGACAAAATACTCCTCTGCCATGGTTACTCCTCATTAAACAGTTACAGATCACCAGTATTTCCTGTTAAATCCCAGTAATAAAAATAATAATCTGAACTCAAATCCTTTGTACAGATGCTCCTTTGTGCTTTGTCCAAATGCTTCTGTATGAGGAGGTGGAGTAAGGGTGTGGATAATACTTTGGTATTCCATCTTTGGTATAAAATGATAACTTTAAGGGGTGGAAAGATTCTAATCCAAAGAGACTGGGAATTAGACATTTATGTATGATTGAAATGCTGGAGTTTGGTTTTATACTGACTATTTCGGGGAGGAAGGTTGATTTCAGTTAAATGAAAATTCCTCCCCTCCCCTTCCCTTCCCCAAACAAATAAATAAATGGAACACTAGACCTTATTCATCCATGAAAAAGCTTTTCCTACAATGGTAAATCAATTGATTAACTGAGGATCAAAAATTCTAAATTAAATCTTTGTTGAGGAGACTGGACTCCTTATAAAAGGTCCCATTTTTATGGACAGTCGAATCCCCAATCTGTTTTTCCATGCAAAATTTTTACAATCTGAATTCCCAAAACAGTCCCTTCCCTGTATTCCGATTTGTGAATGGCACTGCAAAGGGGAGTAGGAGACACTGATATTTTAAAGTTAAAACGGACTTATCATAGGATCTCTCCAGGGGAAAGCATTCTGCACCTTGTTTATTGGCCACCATTCTGCTAAGAGACCAGCAATCTGCACTTCTACTTTTTGGTGCTCCATCTCACCATCATCAGGTTGAATGCCACGGCCCATTTTGTCGAGAAAGCTGAAGTGAACACTTTGGAAATGCTTCCTAAAGCGGAGCATTTCCAGCTGAAACGAACGCACGGTTACGGGTTCGAACGAATCCGTTTCTTCCTTTGCTTTAGAGTAAACAACTTCAAATATACCTAACAGCTCCCAGCGGAGCGTGGGCGGTTTCCCTGGCTATCTGAGCAGGGTATGCATGTCTAGCGGCCACTTTCCTGCGACCCTCAGTCCCTACGACCAGACCGTTTGCAAACTGCAGCCACGCAAGGCGGATCTCTCGAGCCCAGTTGCACCTATGGCTGTCAAGCAAAGCAATTTCCGCGCACGCTTTTACCCGTGATGATTGCAATTCACATCCTCCAGCGGCAGCCTCACTCCACAGCCATACAGCGCGTGTGAGCAGGCGGGTTTAAACGAGCGACCGCACCAAGCCCCCGCGCCGGCTCACGGGGAGCGATGCACACGCGCCGCCCGGCTCCGGCTCCGGCTCCGGCTCGCGGGGAACTGGGTGGAAACAGCGTCGCGCCGCTTGCCTGCCCCGGTGTAAATGGGTCGGTTTAACAAAAGGAGCCGGCGGCTGAGACTCGCCCAGCCCGCCCCCCTCGCTAGCCAGCAGCAGCCGGGGCCGGAGCTGAACGGAGCCGCCCTGAGATCGGCGCTTTTACCTTCTAGCGCCCTTCGCGGCTCGCCCGAGGGGGAACGGCTGGAGCTCGCCTTCTCCGGCAGGGGCGGCGGGCTCAGCGGCGTCCCCACCCAGCCTTGTCTGCGATCATCCCCCGGGGACAGGAAGCAGCGCGGCTCCGACTTCCTCCTCCCCGCCGCTGGCTCCGCGCTCGCCCCGCGCCCGCTGCGGCCCCCGCCCCGGCCCGGCCCCGCGCCGCCGCCTCCGCCCACGGGCCGCTCCCCGCCCGCCAGTCGGTCCGCCCGCCGGTGCCCGCAGCTCCGGACCCCGCAGAGCCGGCGCGCCCCGCTGCCCCCCCCCGCCCGCCCCCCTCCACACACCGCCACCCCCTCCTCTGCCCCACGGATATCCCCCCCCGCCACACCCCTCCCCACACCGCCACCCCCTCCTCTGCCCCACGGATATCCCCCCCGCCCCACCCCTCCACACACCGCCACCCCCTCCTCTGCCCCACGGATATCCCCCCCGCCCCACCCCTCCACACACCGCCACCCCCCCCTGCCCCACGGATATCCCCCCGCCACACCCCTCCACACACCGCCACCCCCTCCTCTGCCCCACGGATATCCCACACCGCCACCCCCTCCTCTGCCCCACGGATATCCCCCCCCGCCACACCCCTCCCCACACCGCCACCCCCTCCTCTGCCCCACGGATATCCCCCCCGCCCCACCCCTCCACACACCGCCACCCCCTCGCCCCACGGATATCCCCCCCCGCCACACCCCTCCCCACACCGCCACCCCCTCCTCTGCCCCACGGATATCCCACACCGCCACCCCCTCCTCTGCCCCACGGATATCCCCCCGCCCCACCCCTCCACACACCGCCACCCCCTCCTCTGCCCCACGGATATCCCACACCGCCACCCCCTCCTCTGCCCCACGGATATCCCCCCCCGCCACACCCCTCCCCACACCGCCACCCCCTCCTCTGCCCCACGGATATCCCCCCGCCCCACCCCCTCCACACACCGCCACCCTCTCCTCTGCCCCACGGATATCCCACACCGCCACCCCCTCCTCTGCCCCACGGATATCCCCCCCGCCACACCCCTCCCCACACCGCCACCCCCTCCTCTGCCCCACGGATATCCCCCCCGCCCCACCCCCTCCACACACCGCCACCCCCTCCTCTGCCCCACGGATATCCCCCCCGCCACACCCCCTCCCCACACCGCCACCCCCTCCTCTGCCCCACGGATATCCCCCCGCCCCCCCACCCCTTCATACACCGCCACCCCCCGCCCCACGGATATCCCCCCCGCCACACCCCTCCCCACACCGCCACCCCCTCCTCTGCCCCACGGATATCCCCCCGCCCCCACCCCTCCACACACCGCCACCCCCTCCTCTGCCCCACGGATATCCCACACCGCCACCCCCTCCTCTGCCCCACGGATATCCCCCCCGCCCCACCCCTTCATACACCGCCACCCCCTCCTCTGCCCCACGGATATCCCCCCGCCACACCCCTCCCCCACACCGCCACCCCCTCCTCTGCCCCACGGATATCCCACACCGCCACCCCCTCCTCTGCCCCACGGATATCCCCCCCGCCCCACCCCTTCATACACCGCCACCCCCCCCGCCCCACGGATATCCCCCCCGCCACACCCCCTCCCCCACACCGCCACCCCCTCCTCTGCCCCACGGATATCCCCCCGCCCCACCCCTTCACACACCGCCACCCCCCCGCCCCACGGATATCCCCCCCCCCCACCCCTCCACACACCGCCACCCCCCGCCCCCACGGATATCCCCCCCGCCCCACCCCCTCCACACACCGCCACCCCCTCCTCTGCCCCACGGATATCCCCCCCCCCCACCCCTCCACACACTGCCACCCCCCCGCCCCCGGCCCCCGCCACCCCCTCCTCTGCCCCACGGATATCCCCCCCGCCCCACCCCTCCACACACTGCCACCCCCCCCGCCTCGGCCCCCTCCACACACTCCTCTGCCCCAAGGATATCCCCCCCGCCCCACCCCTCCACACACTGCCACCCCCCTGCCCCACGAATATCCCCCCCCGCCCCACCCCCTCCACACACCGCCACCCCCGCCCCACGGATATCCCCCCGCCCCACCCCTCCACACACCGCCACCCCCCGCCCCACGGATATCCCCCCCGCTCCACCCCTCCACACACCGCCACCCCCTCCTCTGTCCCACGGATATCCCCCCCGCCACACCCCTCCACACACCGCCACCCCCTCCTCTGCCCCACGGATATGCCCCCCCGCCGCACCTCTCCACACACCGCCACCCCCTCCTCTGCCCCACGGATATGCCCCCCGCCGCACCCCTCCACACGCTGCCACCCCCCCGGCCCCGGCCGCACCCCCTCCACACGCTGCCACCCCCCCCTCTGCCCCACGGATATCCCCCCGCCACACCCCTCCACACACTGCCACCCCCCCTCTGCCCCACGGATACCCCCCCGCCGCACCCCCTCCACACGCTGCCACCCCCTCTGCCCCACGGATATCCCCCCCGCCACACCCCTCCACACACTGCCCCCCTCCTCTGCCCCACGGATATCCCCCCCGCCTCACCCCTCCACACACCGCCACCCCCTCCTCTGCCCCACGGATATCCCCCCCCGCCGCACCCCTCCACACGCCGCCACCCCCTCCTCTGCCCCACGGATATCCCCCCCCGCCGCACCCCTCCACACGCTGCCACCCCCCCGCCCCCGGCCCCCGCCACCCCCTCCTCTGCCCCACGGATATCCCCCCCGCCCCCACCCCTCCACACACTGCCACCCCCCCCGCCCGGCCCCCTCCACACACTCCTCTGCCCCAAGGATATCCCCCCGCCCCCACCCCTCCACACACTGCCACCCCCCTGCCCCACGAATATCCCCCCGCCCCACCCCTCCACACACCGCCACCCCCCCGCCCCACGGATATCCCCCCCGCCCCACCCCTCCACACACCGCCACCCCCCGCCCCACGGATATCCCCCCCCGCTCCACCCCTCCACACACCGCCACCCCCTCCTCTGTCCCACGGATATCCCCCCCGCCACACCCCTCCACACACCGCCACCCCCTCCTCTGCCCCACGGATATGCCCCCCGCCGCACCTCTCCACACACCGCCACCCCCTCCTCTGCCCCACGGATATGCCCCCCCGCCGCACCCCTCCACACGCTGCCACCCCCCGGCCCCGGCCGCACCCCTCCACACGCTGCCACCCCCCCCTCTGCCCCACGGATATCCCCCCCGCCACACCCCTCCACACACTGCCACCCCCCCTCTGCCCCACGGATACCCCCCCGCCGCACCCCCTCCACACGCTGCCACCCCCTCTGCCCCACAGATATCCCCCCGCCACACCCCTCCACACACTGCCCCCCCTCCTCTGCCCCACGGATATCCCCCCGCCTCACCCCTCCACACACCGCCACCCCCTCCTCTGCCCCACGGATATCCCCCCCGCCGCACCCCCTCCACACGCCGCCACCCCCTCCTCTGCCCCACGGATATCCCCCCCCCCCGCACCCCTCCACACGCTGCCACCCCCTCCTCTGCCCCACGGATATCCCCCCCGCCACACCCCTCCACACACCGCCACCCCCCT